AATTTCGTGTTTGCCGAGAAATAGATGAAACTAAAAAATAAACGAACCACTTATTCTTACGGTAGAGTTTTTTTTTTTTTTGTTTTTAGTTTTTTTTAATGATGCATTTTTCTTCTAATAATAACATATAATTCTGAACGAACTAGAGTGTTCTAGGTTGTGTGTGAAACCTTTTATATTGATTGGTTGGTTGATGGATTGTTGCTTTTTTTGGTTGCATCAATAATCGAGTTAATTGAGTTGATTTGATTGATAGTAGTTCTTTTTGTGGTTAGCGTGTCGTTCTGTTTTAGGATCTAAACCTATTAAGGGGATTTTTAAAGTTGACTTTATTGCAGAGGAATGCTGCATTTATGGAACTAAGTTTTTATTTTCCAATTAGAATTTGAGCATCATGAAGGTTTTCAAGGAAGTTGTTGATCAAGGTATGGTATTAGATATTAGACAATTAATACATCATAGCTTTAACAACGCCGTGTGTTGGTCGCAGTCAGAGTTTCTTTGTTGCCCGGTTATATTGCTAGTAGTTGGTGGTTACTGCAGGTATTTGGGATTCCTTAGGGGAATCCTGCTGGATATTTGGCTTGAAGTTGTGGGATTATCACCATGCTTGTGAGTAAGTACTAGCTCTATTCACGTTCATGATGACTTTAATGGGGATTTATCGAAGTGAATGTTTGAATAAATCTGCTGTTTCCCATCAGAAATTGAGTGCTTGCCAAATTAATCAGAATTTGCGTGCTTCCCAAGTGAAGCTGATGAAAAAGGAAAGCATATATTATAGTCTTAGCTAATACAGGCAGCAGCAAATGTTTGCCGCAATAAAAGCCAAAATTTAAATGGAGGTAGAGAAATTAAATCACAAACAAATATAAGTACCATAGTGCTCAACGTGGTAGACACTTATGAAGCTAAATCTACAGGAATGAAGAGGATTAATATAATTCATTAACTATGAAGATTATAATATAAGCAATATCTTGCGAACTAATATCTAACCCAAGATTACAAAACCTTAGCTAAAAAACTATCAAACTAAAGAAATACTTGGGAAAGATTAAGAGTAGTTATCTCCTTCAGCCCAAAATATGAAAAATATCTGGAACATGAACTCTCAAAGCCAATAACTCCCTATAATCAAATTCTAATTATAGAGAATTGCAATGTTGTTCGATAAGTCAATACTGAATAATAACTCTACAATAATTAGGAATACTAAACAAATAGTAAGTTTTAAGACACACTTTTAACGGAAACTAATATATTTATTTATTTATGGTTCAAGTAGGTTATCCATTTCTTCCAAGTGAATGATTAACTAAAACTTTGATTATGACCATCAATTTGACTAGCCATGAAGTTTGTCAATTAAGCGTAGGCTTGGTTGAGGATATTTATTTCTCCTCCCTTAAAAGGCATACTTTTCTTTTGTTTGGTATTAGTTTGCACTGAGTCTGAGTATTAACTGAATGGCTCATATCATATTTTTTTAGCATAGTTCTCTTTACGTTGAATGTTTGTCATGTGATGTGAGTTTGCATCACAAGATGGGAATGTAACTTTCGTGAAGCTAGAATACTCTGAATGTTAAAATGAAAAAGTATGGTGAAAGTATCTTGCTGCATATACTTAAGGTATGCTAGTATACAAAACTTTTGAGCTTTGAGTAATAATTTTGTTTTGGCACATTTATTTTGTCTTATATTAGTTGCCAGAATGTAGCTAAATGAGGTTGATGATGTTGGCATGGTTATTATACTACTGCAGGATCAGAGACAATCTGAAATGCAGAGAGTACTCTCATCCAAATGAATGGGAGAATTTATTTACTTATATATCATAAAAAATTGTGTCAAATCTGAAATGTAGTTTATGCTTAGCCAGTTCTCATGCTCCCAAGGAGCTACAAAAAGCTTTAGCTGTTATTCATTTATCTAGTTCTGGATGCTTTAGAAAATGATAGTTTGAAGAGCTTCTGGAGAGATGGGAGTGAGTTATTTGTAAAAGATAGAAGATCACATACTCACGCTTTTGGGTGAGGGGTTTGTTTCTATTATTGATCGAAGTACTTTGTAAAGTTCATAGAATTTTATCTTGCGATAATACTTTTGTATTTGGAAGGCAATTAGTATTCCCACCAAAGAATAACCGTTATGCAAGGGCTTAATAGTACATATCTCTATATGTGGCTTTAGAATTTATATGTTCGAGAGTACTTAGAGGAGTGCTTATAAGAGAGAGCAAGGATCTCATATCTTAAGCAGAAAACTTGTTGGGGCCAGTGATCGTCATACTCCTGGTGAAATGAGGGGGAGAGAGAGGGAGGGAGGGAGAGCGAATGTTTTATTTTGTTTTGTTTTTGGTTTTTTTTCTCTTTCTCATTGAATTGAGATCTGACTGAATCTCCCAAGAAGTCCTTTCTTGAGGTTGAAATAATGTGGTGGGAAAAAAAATCCTTGCAGTTGAATAGATTTTTGACTCATGAAAGTACACAGTACATATTGGATGCATATATACTAAAGAAGACAAGAAAGTATATTTTTGACAGTAAGAATATAATTTTTTGCCATTTAAGAACAATGATTTTAGGGTAATTATCTGAAGAACCCTGTACTTTAGATTTGTATAGAGTTGCTGCTTCTCTTTTTAACTAAATCAGTTAAGCCATTGTTCCAAATATGATTGAACTAAGCGTTTCTAGGTTAGATATCATTTATCTAGAGTTTTGAAGGAAGAAAGAGGTCTGGCACAGGAACTATCTACTCAAGAGAATGGAACTAAGATCTTGACCAAGCTAATGATGGAATCAAGTCCAAGCACTGGTTGGGCTTTATTGGATTTGCAATGTAGCTTGAGCCCTTTGGGCTTGTTGGAGGAGAGCATGGGCATGTATTACTTATGAAGGTCAGATAAAATTCGTGGTAAGGTGGAGATTTATTATTATGCCTTTGAATTCTATAGGATAAACGAATTCTAATTCAATTATGATATCTTAACTATTTATTTGTACTCAAAAGCATTCTTGTGATATGGTTTCTAATTCTATAGGTAGAAGAACTTTCTCTTTACTCATATCTCTTACCCTTTGTAAATAGATCTTTTGAATCAGTAAGAGATGCTTGGGAGAGAAATTTAAGGTTTTTGCTTTAGAGTGAGGTTGGGTGCAAAGGGTTTTCTTGGATAGCGTATGATAGTTTTAAGCTTCATATTAGTTATTTTCTTGCTCTTGCTTATGGAAGTCGACTCAATAATCGAACCACGCGAGTCCTTGTGTCTTTGTGGATTGATTTCTTTGCTCTTTATACGTTTTTGTGCTTTACTTTCACACAAGTTTTTTCTGTTTTAAAATTTTCTGGCTTTATTTACTATTAGAAGTGAGACATTAATTCACTTTTCTTCTGGTGCTTTTGCTTTCCAGTATAGGATTCAATCATGACACTAATTAATATAGGTCTGCATTGTATGATTTAAAAGTTCTATAGTTGAAAATTCTTCTGCCATACGCCAAGCACATTTTCTGTTTTTCCTAAATTTCCAGAATAAAAGATTATTATGTTTTAAAGTTACTTAATTTTATGCATAAAAAATCTGGGAAAAAGATATG